TTTTAAGTACTAGATATTTTGTTATGAAATAGCAGGAGTTGAATGTTTAAAGTTTAAAATTAAAATCATAGTTCGAAATTTTCTTTCTTGGCTTTCAATCCGATCAAGAAAAGATCTGCTACGATTAGCTCACCTCCATTTCCCTCTCCCACCATAAAGCCAGATCTTGATCAGATAAGGCTGAAGAAAGAGAGAGTTTTGCTTCATTTCCTCTCACCTTAACAATGATCAATTTTAAAATTTTGGCTTTCAAACCGATCTAGAAGTGTTCTATTAGTTCATCACAATTCGAATATGTTAAAAGAGATCATCTCTATAAGCACGATCAAGCTTCACAGTTTAAGATTTACTTCCGTGTCATACAATCCAATCATGATAAGATCTGCGACCATTTCCAATATATGTTAATTTTCCTCTTCCACCGTCAAGCCCGATCATGATTTCTTAATCATGTTAAGCAAAGGCTGAAGAAAGAGAAAATTTTGCTCCATTTTCCTCTCCTTAACCATGATTAAGCTTCAAAGTTTGAGATGTACTATCGTGGCTTACAATCCGATCAAGAAGTGATCTACAACTATTCCAAGATCATGTTTTGTTAATAAAGAGCCGAAGAAAAAATGTTCCAGTTTGTGATATACTTCCGCGACTTTACGATCAAACAATTACAAGTGATCGTCTCTTCAAAAACATGATCAAGCTTCACAGTTTAAGATTTGGGTACATTCGTGGCATACAATACGATCATGATAAGATTTGCGTCCATTTCTAATATGTGAAAATTTTACTCTCCCACCCGCCCGACCATGATTTCTTATTCATGATAAGCTACAGCCGAAGAAAGAGACAATTTTTATTTAATTTCTCTCTTCTAAATCATAACCAAGCTTTCGAGATTTACTCACAATCGGATCATGAAGTGATCTGCAGCTATTCCAAGATTTGTAAATTTTGTGTTCAACACAGTGAAGTCCGATCGTTACATGCTAGAGCCGAAGAAATATACAATTTTGATCTTTTATCATGATCAATCATATTAGATTAACTTTCGTGGTTTATGATATGATCAAGAATATTTGTCTCATCCATATTTGAAGGTGTTTAAATTTTGTTTAGCTAGAGCTGTATATCATTTCTCTCTCTCTTCTTTCTAATCATGATCGAGTTTTACGGTTTAAGATTTAATCTCTTAGTTTATACTAGATTCCGATCAAGTAATTAAACATGATCAAACTGCACAGTTTGAGATTTACTTTCATGGCCTACAATTTGGTCGAGAAGTGATCTATGACGATAAGCTGACTTCAAGATGTGAACATTTCGTTCAGCTAGGTCTCTCTCTCCCTCCGTAATAATGATCGAACAGTTTGTAACTTAATATCTTACATACACACATAAATCCGATCGATGCGATGGTCGCGGTAAGACTTCATCTAGGTGCTTGATCCTGTAATAGTTCTAGCGATTTAAAATAAACTTTAAGCCCTAAAGATAATTTACTCCCAATTTTATTTCGATCAAGTTTAGTCACAATAACCCTTAATTTTATAAAATTTCAATACATTTATTTTTAAACTGGGGAAATATATAGCATTCTTTCTCTGAATTGTTTGTAAATTACAAAAGTAAATAAATTTCAAACTCATACGATAATTAGTCGTCTCTCTACTACAAATTACTGACAAACACGAAACATCAATCATCTCTATAGAGAGGGAAGTATGATGGGGAAGTACAATAACAATAATAATCAGGAAATATTATAAATAGAAAAAAATTCCACAACTGGAGAAATAAAACAAAAATTTAATAAAACATGTAGGCATGTTTTTATTATTTTTAGATTAAAAAATACTCATACAAGAGTAACGATCAAATTCAGACAACTAAATTTGACCCTGAAAATTGTTTAAACAAATGTTTAGAAATCGAACTATAGGTGCACATTAAACAAGATCATTTATGAATCATGTGAGAGAATTATATATTTGACTATGCCGAATCGTATGTACCCTCCACTTACATTATATACCCGATTTGAACTTTAATATAAATTTATAATGAATTTAAAAATATCAATTCCGGCCAAGAATTCATAGCCTTACAATCCGACAATCGTTATCCTTGAAGAGATTTGCAAATCTGATACTTACTGAACCAATCTTGAAGTTATTATCGATAAGAAACACATATATCAACTGGTACCCTATACCTTCAAGGGTAATTTATGGTAGCAATGGCATAAGATATAAAATGGAATCTAAAGATTAGAATGTTGACATTTAAAGGCAATTGCAAGTCAACCCATAGCAATAGATTTATCTCTCTGTTGAATCAGAAACCAGATGTTCAGATAGACTTGTATAGAGTCTATACTCCTGGTTGGTTGCAAACTGGAGATTCATATCTGGTATTAAATAGATGAAGCATTTTGTTACAGTAATAACTGAACAATGGATGCAGTCGGCTTGGGCTTTAGGTCAACTAATTTCAATGCAGTTCCAATGACAATAGCGGTTTCTATCTAAGGCAGGAGCCTTAGCATATTATCTTAAAGAATCTTCTCTCAGTATAATATTATTGCTGTCCATGGGGGAAAAAGAAGCTCCCAGTATCTAGTTAATTATCCATTAATTAGAATCATTTGATTCACAGTCGAACTAGAGAGCTTATCTTACCTGATACCATGGGAATTGATGGCCCGCAGGGTAGAGTTTCAGACTATATCTTGTAAAGATTATTGGGGGTGCCATTTTTTACTGTGGTTTCACACAAAACTTGTTCATGTGAAATTTCATCGCTGTAGTCGTATTTGAGCGTTACAGTCACTTTCTGAGGGTGACCTTATATGAAGGGTGGGCTTAATTATAGACCGATCCTCATAAAATTTGATAAAGAGCTTTCTGCAAAACTTGTTTATATAGAATTTTACTGCTGTAATCGCATTTTGAGTCAGTAATGAGCGTCAAAGTCATTTTCTGAAAGGGACCTTATATGGCGGTAGGGTCAATTATAGACTGATCCTCATAAAATTTAGTAGAGAGGCTTTGGCTCATATGAAACTTGTTTATGTCAAATTTCATAGCTATACTCGCAGTTTTAAGCCAGTAATGAGCGTTATAGTTATTTTCTGAAAAGGACCTTATATGGGGGAAAGGGTCTATTAAGAACCGATCGTTATAAAATTTGATAGAGAGCTTTTAGCTCGCACAAAACTTGTTTATGTAGAATTTTACCACTGTACTCACATTTTTGAGTCAGTAATTAGCGTTAAAGTAATTTTCTGAAGAGGACCTAATATGGGGGCTAGGGTCAATTATTGACCCATCCTCATAAAATTTAAGAAAATTATTTTTGTTTCTATAAATCTTTTTTTTTTTATGTCGAATTCTATTGCTTTATATGCTTCTTAAGGTAAGATATGAGCATTAAAGTCATTTTCTGAAAGGGGGTAGGGTCAATTATGGTCCTATTCTTATAACAGTTTACAAAGGGATTAAAGTTCCCATAAAACATGTTTGTGCCGAATTTCACCGCTATAGATGTTTATTTTAGACAGTTATGAGCGTTGAAGTAATTAACTGAAGGGAACTTTATATGGGGGTAGGGTCAATTATGGTCCTATCCTTATAAAATTTTACAAAGATATTGAAGTCCCCATAAAACATGTTTATGCTGAATTTCACCACTATTGATGTTTCACTTAGCCAGTTATGAGCGACAAAGTCATTTTCTGAAGGAGGCCTTTTGTGGAGGCTAGGCGAAATCATGGACCGATATCGCCCATTTTCAATACCAAACAAAATGCATGAACTAGAAGTATCTATGTAAGATTTCAGCTCGCTAGCTACTTCCATTTGGACTCTATCGTTTTTTTAGCAGACAGACGGATCGACATGGCTAGATCGACCCAGAATATATATACTTTTATGGCTCTTAGACGAATATTTCAATGTGTTACAAACGGAATGATAAAAACATATTTTTTGATGGTGAGTATAAAAATTGCCACTAGCTTAGGGATCTGTGTTGATTCCCTCACCCTGTGGTTGATAAAGATTAACATAAAGTTTGGCCTCAAGACAGTGATTCACGTAAAGCAATTCGAAATACTGCCCTAGCTTTTAAGAGAAATCAATTCCTGGGAACATATAACCTTGGTGAACTAACTGGGTCCAGACCACTTAACGACCTATTAGGGTTTGCAATAAACTATCACGTTAACCAACTACGTTTCGTTTCGTTATAAATCAGCTGATTTGTATTTTGCTTACGGAAACCTGTGTAAGTCGTTAGATTGTCCCTGAGGCTGTCGTTGTGATTTTGTATGAAAAACACGAATCAGCTGATCCGTCAAGGAACAGAACGTGAAAACTAACTGAGCTTTAAGACACTGCTTTTTTCTCCTACCAAAAAGGGTTTAACAAAAATCACCTTAAATCCTACATATTGGACAACTCGGTAATATTAGACATCCACTAATTACTCCTAACTGTAGTATGAGTATAATTCGCATGTTTGATTAACTGTCATCAGAAGTATAAATATTAAATGATGACTCATAATATGTATACAGACAGAAATGGATATTAGATTGGCTGTGTACCAATTCATATTGTACCCATACCCATATTATGAATAACAGACAGACACACACACGTAGTACAACGTAGTTAATTTATACAGACGTAATATGTTGAAATTTATGTATAATTTCTTAATATGTATTGGAATTTTTCAATTTTTTCAAAATTGCACATGTTTATTAAAAGTTTGATTGTTTATGGTTCCAGTTAACAAAGGAATTTATTATAAAATAAAATCTTTTGTCTAGATAATGAAACAACAAACATAAAGTTCAAGTCAGTTGTATGAAAAATATATAATTTATCAGGGTAAACATATTAAACGTAAAATAAACCAAAAAGAACAAAAATGAAAAGAATCCATAAAAACCCGTATTTTTTCGTTCTATATAGAAAAAAAGAAACAATACAACTTACTGGCACTTGTTGTTGCTTTTGTTTTTTTTTAATGGAAAAATTTATTTTTATACTTTTCTAAACAAATTTTTCTTTATCTTTTTTTTTCTGCTACACTTTTGAAAATTTTCACACTTTTCGTGTAGAATTTACTGGGTAATTATTTAACAATAGACTGGCGATATATATATGTAAATATAAATCTTTTAGTTTAATTTATTTTATTCACTTCACTTATTTTCTTTTATCTTTTATATTATTTACTTGTTTACCGGTTTTTTTTATCTCTTACACAAAAAAAAATGCGTAAAAAAAGTACTCGTAATAAAACACGAAACGTACAATTCAAAGAGCAAAAGCCAACTGAATAATATTTGAAAAAAAGCTTGTTTTTTCTTGATTTACTTGGTTGGGTTGGGGATTTTATATAGTTGAATGAATTTGTTGTTGCTTGTTTGTTTGAGAGAGGAGAGACAGCTCAATGATCTCTTTTGTTGTTATTGTTTGTTTGTTTGTCTTTCTATTTAGTATTGTGTTAGTATGAAGAGTTGTATATTAGCATAACAGGGTTTGTAAATTAAAGTAGTACTTGACAATTTCAAAACAAAAGTATTCGTAATGGCATTTGTTCAAACATTAAATAGAAATGCTGTAAATAACAAGTAAGCGTTCTATATTCGACCGTGCCGAAGATTTTATACCCTACACCATGACGTGTTTTTTTCAAAAATTAATACTTAAAATATTCAAAATTAATATTTTTTACACTTTATTATTTTTCCCATCCATGCAGAATTTTTTACAAACAATTTTCCATTCTAGTTCAGTTTTAGTTCAGTTCTAGTTCAGATCTAGTTCAGTTCTAGTTCTAGTTCAGTTCTAGTTCAGTTCCAGTTCAGTTCTAGTTCAGTTCTAGTTCAGTTCTAGTTCAGTTCTAGTCAGTTCTAGTTCAGTTCTAGTTCAGTTCTAGTTCAGTTCTAGTTCAGTTCTATATCAGTTCTAGTTCAGTTCTAGTTCAGTTCTAGTTCAGTTCTAGTTCAGTTCTAGTTCAGTTCTAGTTCAGTTCTAGTTCAGTTCTAGTTCAGTTCTAGTTCAGTTCTGGTTCAGTTCTTGTTCAGTTCTAGTTCAGTTCTAGTTCAGTTCTATATCAGTTCTAGTTCAGTTCAGTTCAGTTCTAGTTCAGTTCTAGTTCAGTTCTAGTTCAGTTCTAGTTCAGTTCTAGTTCAGTTCTAGTTCAGTTCTAGTTCAGTTCTAGTTCAGTTCTAGTTCAGTTCTAGTTCAGTTCTAGTTCAGTTCTAGTTCAGTTCTAGTTCAGTTCTAGTTCAGTTCTAGTTCAGTTCTAGTTTAGTTCTAGTTCAGTTCTAGTTCAGTTCTAGTTCAGTTCTAGTTCAGTTCTAGTTCAGTTCTAGTTCAGTTCTAGTTCAGTTCTAGTTCAGTTCTGGTTCAGTTCTAGTTCAGTTCTAGTTCAGTTCTAGTTCAGTTCTAGTTCAGTTCTAGTTCAGTTCTAGTTCAGTTCTAGTTCAGTTCTAGTTCAGTTCTAGTTCAGTTCTAGTTCAGTTCTAGTTCAGTTCTAGTTCAGTTCTAGTTCAGTTCTAGTTCAGTTCTAGTTCAGTTCTAGTTCAGTTCTAGTTCAGTTCTAGTTCAGTTCTAGTTCAGTTCTAGTTCAGTTCTAGTTCAGTTCTAGTTCAGTTCTAGTTCAGTTCTAGTTCAATTCTAGTTCAGTTCTAGTTCAGTTCTAGTTCAGTTCTAGTTCAGTTCTAGTTCAGTTCTAGTTCAGTTCTAGTTAAGTTCTAGTTCAGTTCTAGTTCAGTTCAGTTCAGTTCTAGTTCAGTTCTAGTTCAGTTCTAGTTCAGTTCTAGTTCAGTTCTAGTTCAATTCTAGTTCAGTTCTAGTTCAGTTCTAGTTCAGTTCTAGTTCAGTTCTAGTTCAGTTCTAGTTCAGTTCTAGTTAAGTTCTAGTTCAGTTCTAGTTCAGTTCTAGTTCAGTTCTAGTTCAGTTCTAGTTCAGTTCTAGTTCAGTTCTAGTTCAGTTCTAGTTCAGTTCTAGTTCAGTTCTAGTTCAGTTCTAGTTCTAGTTCAGTTCTAGTTCAGTTCTAGTTCAGTTCTAGTTCAGTTCTAGTTCAGTTCTAGTTCAGTTCTAGTTCAGTTCTAGTTCAGTTCTAGTTCAGTTCTAGTTCAGTTCTAGTTCAGTTCTAGTTCAATTCTAGTTCAGTTCTAGTTCAGTTCTAGTTCAGTTCTAGTTCAGTTCTAGTTCAGTTCTAGTTCAGTTCTAGTTCAGTTCTAGTTCAGTTCTAGTTCAGTTCTAGTTTAGTTCTAGTTCAGTTCTAGTTCAGTTCTAGTTCAGTTCTAGTTCAGTTCTAGTTCAGTTCTAGTTCAGTTCTAGTTCAGTTCTAGTTCTGTTCTAGTTCAGTTCTAGTTCAGTTCTAGTTCAGTTCTAGTTTAGTTCTAGTTCAGTTCTAGTTCAGTTCTAGTTCAGTTCTAGTTCAGTTCTAGTTCAGTTCTAGTTCAGTTCTAGTTCAGTTCTAGTTTCAGTTCTAGTTCAGTTCTAGTTCAGTTCTAGTTCAGTTCTAGTTCAGTTCTAGTTCAGTTCTAGTCAGTTCTAGTTCAGTTCTAGTTCAGTTCTAGTTCAGTTCTAGTTCAGTTCTAGTTCAGTTCTAGTTCAGTTCTATTCAGTTCTAGTCAGTTCTAGTTCAGTTCTAGTTCAGTTCTAGTTCAGTTTCTAGTTAGTTCTAGTTCAGTTCTAGTTCAGTTCTAGTTCAGTTCTAGTTCAGTTTCTAGTTCAGTTCTAGTTCAGTTCTAGTTCAGTTCTAGTTCAGTTCTAGTTCTAGTTCTAGTTCAGTTCTAGTTCAGTTCTAGTTCAGTTTCTAGTTCAGTTCTAGTTCAGTTCTAGTTCAGTTCTAGTTCAGTTCTAGTTCAGTTCTAGTTCAGTTCTAGTTCAGTTCATTCAGTTCTAGTTCAGTTCTTAGTTCAGTTCTAGTTCAGTTCTAGTTCAGTTCTAGTTCAGTTCTAGTTCAGTTCTAGTTCAGTTCTAGTTCAGTTCTAGTTCAGTTCTAGTTCAGTTCTAGTTCAGTTCTAGTTCAGTTCTAGTCAGTTCTAGTTCAGTTCTAGTTCAGTTCTAGTTCAGTTCTAGTTCAGTTCTAGTTCAGTTCTAGTTCAGTTCTAGTTCAGTTCTAGTTCAGTTCTAGTTCAGTTCTAGTTCAGTTATAGTTCAGTTCTAGTCCAGTTCTAGATCAGTTCTAGTTCAGTTCTAGTTCTAGATTAGTTTTAGTTCAGTTCTAGTTCAGTTCTAGTTCAGTTCTAGTTCAGTTCTAGTTCAGTTCTAGTTCAGTTCTAGTTCAGTTCTAGTTCATAGTTCAGTTCTAGTTCAGTTCTAGTTCAGTTCTAGTTCAGTTCTAGTTCAGTTCTAGTTCAGTTCTAGTTCAGTTCTAGTTCAGTTCTAGTTCAGTTCTAGTTCAGTTCTAGTTCAGTTCTAGTTCAGTTCTAGTTCAGTTCTAGTTCAGTTCCAGTTCAGTTCTAGTTCAGTTCTAGTTCACTTCTAGTTCAGTTCTAGTTCGGTTCTAGTTCGGTTCTAGTTCAGTTCTAGTTCAGTTTTAGTTCAGTTTTAGTTCAGTTTTAGTTCAGTTCTAGTTCAGTTCTAATTCAGTTCTAGTTCAGTTCTAGTTCAGTTCTATTTCAATTCTAGTTCAGTTCTAGTTTAGTTCTAGTTCAGTTTTAATTAAGTTCTAGTTTAGTTCTAATTAATTTCTAGTTCAGTTCTATTGTAGTGTTTTTTTTAGTTCTTGTTCGGCTCATGTCAATTTCTTCTTTTATTCACACTGACATATCTAGTGGTACTGACAATGATATCCTTATGTTTTTAACCTTTAGCATATGATTCCTGTTGAATTTAATTATATTCAAGGAAGTAAATGTTCGATTTTTAATTAGCATTAAATGATGAAGAAAACTATCATTAAAGTATACTTTATATAATGAAATTTGAAACACGCCCTATTTAACCATTAAGAACATTGTCATATAAATAACAATTAAATCCTTTAAAAAAAATCATTCAACGTAAAACAATTGATTAGAAAATATATAATAGGAAACCTCTCTACAAAATGGAAGCGAAATCAAATAAAACTTATATTCATAAACCAAAGTCAAAACTGCTGCCCCTACATACATATTTTAAAGAAAATATGAAAAGATTTTTAATTGAAACCTCTTTGAATGGCTTAAAATATATAATAGATGTACATCGTAATATATGGGAAAGGTAAGTGGTACAAAAGTTTTAAAATGAATTGAAAATTTGAGAAATTAATTTTGATGTTTTTAAGGGGTTATTATTTGATATCATTTTCTATTGTATTTACTGCTGGCTTATATATGGCTATATATTTTTTACAAAAATGGCAAAATACTCCGGTTATTATAAGCATGAGTTCCAAAGCCACTTCTATACAGGATGTTCCATTTCCGGCCGTAACATTTTGTAATATGAATCAGGCATTAGCCAGTAGAGTTGATGATATAGAACCGTAAGTAGTTATTTTCGAATTTGCTTTTAAATATAAATAATTAAATTGCTATTTTAGAGACACCCCGGACTATGCCATGCTGCAGAAGATCTGTTTTCAACATTATAATTATTCACGCTATAAGGACTTTAAGCCCCGATTTAAAGGAGATAATTTGGTGCGTTTTATCTTAAAGGTAATATATTGGCAGAAACAAACAATTATTATTATTTAAATTCATTTCTAAAATTTCAGAATACCCAAAGTTGTAGTGACATGATTATTTATTGCAAATTTGGCCCGAATGAAGAAACCTGTACCGATCTATTTCGGGAAATTCTCTTAGATGAGGGTATTTGTTGTGTCTTTAATCAGTTACATCCATTTTATCTGTATAAAGGAGAGTGAGTATTTTAATTTAAAATTACTGATAGGTATTTCGACTTCTATAAATGTATCTGTTATAGATATGAGTTTATACGAGACTATACTTCTTCTAACGGTCGTACCAGTATTCCGGTAAATTGGAACTTAGAAGATGGTTATGAGGATGGTGATGATTTACCAAAAAGTTATTATCCCAGAAAAGCCGCAGGTAAAATTTAGAACTGAACTAGAATTTAACTAGAACTGATCCTGAACTGAACAAGAACTGAACTAGAACTGAACTAAAACTGAACTAGAACTGAATTAGAACTGAACTAGAACTCAACTAGAACTCAACTAGAACTCAACTAGAACTCAACTAGAACTGAACTGAACTAGAACTGAACTAGAACTGAACTAGAACTGAACTAGAACTGAACTAGAACTGAACTAGAACTAAACTAGAACTGAACTAGAACTGAACTAGAACTGAACTAGAACTGAACTAGAACTGAACTAGAACTAAACTAGAACTGAACTAGAAGTCAACTAGAACTGAACTAGAACTAAACTAGAACTGAACTAGAACTAAACCAGAACTGAACTAGAACTGAACTAGAACTGAACTAGAACTGAACTAGAACTGAACTAGAACTGAACTAGCACTGAACTAGAACTGAACTAGAACTGAACTAGAACTGAACTAGAACTAAACTAGAACTAAACTAGAACTGAACTAGAAATCAACTAGAACTGAAATGGAACTGAACTAGAACTGAACTAGAACTGAACTAGAACTGAACTAGAACTGAACTAGAACTGAACTAGAACTGAACTAGAACTGAACTAGAACTGAACTAGAACTGAACTAGAACTGAACTAGAACTGAACTAGAACTGAACTAGAACTGAACTAGAACTGAACTAGAACTGAACTAGAACTGAACTAGAACTGAACTAGAACTGAACAAGAACTGAACTAGAACTGAACTAGAACTAAACTAGAACTGAACTAGAACTGAACTGAACTGAACTAGAACTGAACTAGAACTGAACTAGAACTGAACTAGAACTGAACTAGAACTGAACTAGAACTGAACTAGAACTGAACTAGAACTGAACTAGAACTGAACTAGAACTGAACTAGAACTGAACTAGAACTGAACTAGAACTGAACTAGAACTAGAACTGAACTAGAACTGAACTAGAACTGAACTAGAACTGAACTAGAACTGAACTAGAACTGAACTAGAACTGAACTAGAACTGAACTAGAACTGAACTAGAACTGAACTAGAACTGAACTAGAACTGAACTAGAACTGAACTAGAACTGAACTAGAACTGAACTAGAACTGAACTAGAACTGAACTAGAACTGAACTAGAACTGAACTAGAACTGAACTAGAACTGAACTAGAACTGAACTAGAACTGAACTAGAACTGAACTAGAACTGAACTAGAACTGAACTAGAACTGAACTAGAACTGAACTAGAACTGAACTAGAACTGAACTAGAACTGAACTAGAACTGAACTAGAACTGAACTAGAACTGAACTAGAACTGAACTAGAACTGAACTAGAACTGAACTAGAACTGAACTAGAACTGAACTAGAACTGAACTAGAACTGAACTAGAACTGAACTAGAACTGAACTAGAACTGAACTAGAACTGAACTAGAACTGAACTAGAACTGAACTAGAACTGAACTAGAACTGAACTAGAACTGAACTAGAACTGAACTAGAACTGAACTAGAACTGAACTAGAACTGAACTAGAACTGAACTAGAACTGAACTAGAACTGAACTAGAACTGAACTAGAACTGAACTAGAACTGAACTAGAACTGAACTAGAACTGAACTAGAACTGAACTAGAACTGAACTAAACTGAACTAGAACTGAACTAGAACTGAACTAGAACTGAACTAGATCTGAACTAGAACTGAACTAGAACTAGAACTGAACTGAACTAAAACTAGAACTGAACTAGAACTGAACTAGAACTGAACTAGAACTGAACTAGAACTGAACTAGAACTGAACTAGAACTGAACTAGAACTGAACTAGAACTGAACTAGAACTGAACTAGAACTGAACTAGAACTGAACTAGAACTGAACTAGAATTGAACTAGAACTGAACTAGAACTGAACTAGAACTGAACTAGAACTGAACTAGAACTGAACTAGAACTGAACTAGAAATGAACTAGAACTGAACTAGAACTGAACTAGAACTGAACTAGAACTGAACTAGAACTGAACTAGAACTGAACTAGAACTGAACTAGAACTGAACTAGAACTGAACTAGAACTGAACTAGAACTGAACTAGAACTGAACTAGAACTGAACTAGAACTGAACTAGAACTGAACTAGAACTGAACTAGAACTGAACTAGAACTGAACTAGAACTGAACTAGAACTGAACTAGAACTGAAATAGAACTGAACTAGAACTGAACTAGAACTGAACTAGAACTGAACTAGAACTGAACTAGAACTGAACTAGAACTGAACTAGAACTGAACTAGAACTGAACTAGAACTGAACTAGAACTGAATAGAACTGAACTAGAACTGAACTAGAACTGAACTAGAACTGAACTAGAACTGAACTAGAACTGAACTAGAACTGAACTAGAACTGAACTAGAACTGAACTAGAACTGAACTAGAACTGAACTGAACTACTAGAACTGAACTAGAACTGAACTAGAACTGAACTAGAACTGAACTAGAACTGAACTAGAACTGAACTAGAACTGAACTAGAACTGAACTAGAACTGAACTAAAACTGAACTAGAACTGAACTAGAACTGAACTAGAACTGAACTAGAACTGAACTAGAACTGAACTAGAACTGAACTAGAACTGAACTAGAACTGAACTAGAACTGAACTAGAATTGAACTAGAACTGAACTAGAACTGAACTAGAACTGTACTAGAACTGAACTAGAACCGAACTAGAACCGAACTAGAACTGAACTAGAAACTGAACTAGAACTGGACTAGAACTGACTAGAACTGAACTAGAACTGAACTAGAACTGAACTAGAACTGAACTAGAACTGAACTAGAACTGAACTAGAACTGAACTAGAACTGAACTAGAACTGAACTAGAACTGAACTAGAACTGAACTAGAACTGACTAGAACTGAACTAGAACTGAACTAGAACTGATCTAGAACTTAACTAGAACTGAACTAGAACTGAACTAGAACTGAACTAGAACTGTACTAGAACTGAACTAGAACTGAACTTGAATTGAACTGAGCTAGAACTTATTTAGAACTGACCTAGAACTGAGCTAGAACTGAACAAACACTGAACTAGAACTGAATTTTAAACAAATTATAAATATATTCATTAGGTTCCGGAGTATCAATGGGGCTTACAGTGGTGTTGAATGCAGAACTAGATGAGTACTATTGTTCTTCAACAAATGGACCAGGATTTAAGGTACTTTTTGTTGAATTAATAAACATATATAATTTTAATAAAATTTAACCTTTTAGATGTTACTCTACAATCCCGTCGATGCTCCCCACATGAGAGACACCGGTTTGCCTATAATGTTGGGTCATCAAACCCGTGTACGTATTAATCCCAAACGCATGGAATCTTTATCTTCGCTACGCAGTACCAATCCCAAAGATCGTCAGTGTTACTTTTCGAGTGAGAAGAATCTACTCTATTTTAAGTACTATACTAGACGTAATTGTGAAATGGAGTGTGATTCAAAACAAATGTTTAGACGTTGCAATTGTGTACCCTATCATATGCCGAAAATATATGCCAATGCCACAACCTGTTTTCTCAATCAAATGGATTGTGTGGTGGAAACTGAACGTTTGATCTTGGATCCAAGTAATTTAAAATGTAAAGAAGATTGTTTATCGGGTTGCCATGATTTAAGTTATTACCCGGATATGTTTGTAACACCTTTGGCCTCTAGAGATTTTAATTTACAAGATCCCTTTTTTCGTAATATTTCTAAGGAAGTAATGCATAAGAATTTAGCTCTCGTGCAGATATATTATAGAGATAACTTCTTTCGCGGTAATACTAAGGTACCCTATACAGGATTTACGGAATTCTTATGTAAGTTCTTTTGGAAAAAATATCGTTTTAGTATTGATTTTATAATTTATTTAATTAGCTCAAACTGGTGGTGTTATGAGTTTAATGGTGGGTTTCAGTGTCATTTCTATAGCTGAGATGTTTTACTTTATATTCCTTAAACCTTTTTTCGATATGTTTAAGAGAAGAAATCCTTTGCTGTTGGAGAGCAAGGATAATGTTCAAAATGTAGTAAGTTTTTAAAGTGGTAATATTTAAAGGATTTTTATTATTTTTTAATGAAAATTTCAGGTTTCAGCAAAAAATAATTTAAATCAACAAATGTTATTTAAACGCCGCAAAAACTTAAACAATCGTGTTATGAATTGGAATAGTAATGAATTGAAAAAATATCGCAATGACAAATATTAAAAGCAAAATTTAATTCAAAATTTAATAGCACCATATAGATTTAAAAGAAAAATCTATATTATTATTAAAAAAATCATTGGAAAAGCTTTAAATGCACTAACAATTTTAAACAATTCACAACAAGTTATAATTTATAGTAGTTTTGTTACTGAACAGATCTTCTATCTGTTTGACATGCATTATAATTTACACAAATCTTATTAATTTAAAAAAAATATATTTTTAGACATTAACGCAATTGCATAAATTATTGAGTAATTAAATATAAAATACTCAGACAAAATTATTCTAAACACATCCCATTAAGATTCCAATAAAGTTAATAATAAATAGAAATAAAAACAATATTTTTCCCACACATAAAAAAAAAATTTCACGATCGATGAGTTTTCTATAACAAATTTCTCGATCGATAAATTTTCTATTGAAAATTTCACGATCGATGAGTTGTTTTATAGCTAATTTCACTATCAATAAGTTTTCTGTAGAAAATTTAACTATCGATGAGGTTTCTATAGAAAATTTCACGATCAATAAGATTTCTGTAGAAAATTTCACGATCGATAAGTTTTCTACAGAAAATTTCTCGATAGATGGATAAGTTTTCTATAGAAAATTTGTCGCTCAATAAGTTTTCTATAGAAAATTGGTCGATGGATAAGTTTTCTAAAGAAAATTGGTAGATCAATAAGTTTTCTATAGAAAATTTGTCGATTGATAAGTTGTCTATAAAAAATTTGTCGATCAATAAGTTTTCTATAAAAAATTTGTCGATCAATAAGTTTTCTATAGAAAATTTGTCGATGGATAAGTTTTCTATAGAAAATTTTTCGATGGATAAGTTTTCTATAGAAAATTTGTCGATGGATAAGTTTTCTATAGAAAATTTGTCGATGGAAAAGTTTTCTATAGAAAATTTGTCGATGGATAAGTTTTCTATAGAAAATTTGTCGACGGATAAGTTTTCTATAGAAAATTTGTCGACGGATAAGTTTTCTATAGAAAATTTGTCGATGGATAAGTTTTCTATAGAAAATTTGTCGATGGATAAGTTTTCTATAGAAAATTTGTCGATGGATAAGTTTTCTATAGAAAATTTGTCGATGGATAAGTTTTCTATAGAAAATTTGTCGATGGATAAGTTTTCTATAGAAAATTTGTCGACGGATAAGTTTTCTATAGAAAATTTGTCGATGGATAAGTTTTCTATAGAAAATTTGTCGATGGATAAGTTTTCTATAGAAAATTTGTCGATGGATAAGTTTTCTATAGAAAATTTGTCGTTGGATAACTTTTCTATAGAAAATTTGGATATGTTTTCTACAGAACATTTGGATAAGTTTTCTATGGAAAGTTTGTCGTTGGATAAGTTTTCTATAGAAAATTTGTCGTTGGATAAGTTTTCTATAGAAAGTTTGTCGTTGGATAAGTTTTCTATAGAAAATTTGTCGTTGGATAAGTTTTCTATAGAAAGTTTGTCGTTGGATAAGTTTTCTATAGAAAATTTGTCGTTGGATAAGTTTTCTATAGAAAGTTTGTCGTTGGATAAGTTTTCTATTGAAAATTTGTCGTTGGATAAGTTTTCTATAGAAAATTTGTCGTTGGATAAGTTTTCTATAGAAAATTTGTCGTTGGATAAGTTTTCTATAGAAAGTTTGTCGTTGGATAAGTTTTCTATAGAAAATTTGTCGTTGGATTAGTTTTCTATAAAAAATTTGTCGTTGGATTAGTTTTCTATAGAAAATTTGTCGATCAATAAGTTTTCTATAGAAAATTTGTCGATGGATAAGTTTTCTATAGAAAGTTTGTCGTTGGATAAGTTTTCTATAGAAAATTTGTCGTTGGATAAGTCTTCTATAGAAAGTTTGTCGTTGGATAAGTTTTCTATAGAAAATTTGTCGTTGGATAAGTTTTCTATAGAAAATTTGTCGTTGGATTAGTTTTCTATAAAAAATTTGTCGTTGGATTAGTTTTCTATAGAAAATTTGTCGATCAATAAGTTTTCTATAGAAAATTTTTCGATGTATAAGTTATCTAAAGAAAATTGGTAGATCAATAAGTTTGCTGTAGAAAATTTGTCGACGGATAAGTTTTCTATAAAAAATTTGTCGATCAATAAGTTTCCTATAGAAATTTTGTCGATCAATAAGTTTTCTAAAGAAAATTGGTAGATTAATAAGTTTTCTGTAGAAAATTTGTCGATGGATAAGTTTTCTACAGAAAATTTCTCGATGGATAGGTTTTCTATAGAAAATTTGTCGATCAATAAGTTTTCTTTAGAAAATTTGTCGGTCAATAAGTTTTCTATAGAAAATTTGTCGATCAATAAGTTTTCTATAGAAAATTTGACGATTAATAAGTTTTCTATAGAAAATTTGACGATTAATAAGTTTTCTATAGAAAATTTGACGATCAATAAGTTTTCTATAGAAAATTTCTCGATGGATAAGTTTTCTATAGAAAATTTGTCGATCAATAAGTTTTCTATAGACAATTTGACGATCAATAAGTTTTCTATAGAAAATTTGACGATCAATAAGTTTTCTATAGAAAATTTGTCGATGGATAAGTTTTCTATAGAAAATTTGTCGATGGATAAGTTTTCTATAGAAAATTTGTCGTTGGATAAGTTTTCTATAGAAAGTTTGTCGTTGGATAAGTTTTCTATAGAAAATTTGTCGATGGATAAGTTTTCTATAGAAAATTTGTCGTTGGATAAGTTTTCTATAGAAAATTTGTCGTTGGATAAGTTTTCTATAGAAAATTTGTCGTTGGATAAGTTTTCTATAGAAAATTTGTCGTTGGATAAGTTTTCTATAGAAAATTTGTCGTTGGATAAGTTTTCTATAGAAAATTTGTCGTTGGATAAGTTTTCTATAGAAAATTTGTCATTGGATAAGTTTTCTATAGAAAATTTGTCATTGGATAAGTTTTCTATAGAAAATTTGTCATTGGATAAGTTTTCTATAGAAAATTTGTCGGTGGATTTGTCGATTTATACTCCAAATCTTGAATACCACTATTAGTTATTACTCGTTTCATTAGCTTTTTACCTAAAACCACTCGTTTCACAAGTTCAATACGATTTAACCAATAATTGCATGACTCTTTAAAAAGCACGACTGGGTTTAAATTAACATTCCAAATGCATACAACAACATATAGTACCCAATAGGTAGTTTTCCAAATATAATATTACCTTTGAATAATACTGGATGGTGAAAGTGTATGTACTATGTATGACGTATGTACGTAAGATTTGAACACCCACTTGATTTTAATCTTTTTGCCCGTAACAATTTATACGCACTATTTATTCACTTGGATTAGAGATTATTTTCTTACAATTAAGAAAAGATATTTAATTTCTTTTATTTATTTTTCTTTAGGGAAAATTTATTTTAGTAAAAGATAAATTGACTTTAATTAAAACACAAAAGCACACTTTATTGTGAAGTAAAAATTATACTTTTTATATAGACTTTTCGTCACGTCAATAAACCGGCCGCTAAATTGTAGCTGTTTCGTCAACAAGTATAGAAACACGACTGAATTGAAATATATCGGGGAGAGAAAAAGATACTCTACTGGCTATCCAACAGGTTGTTTGGTGTTGGATAATGTTGCCACTGGCCAAACAAAATTTGGATGGGGGAAATACAAACGTGAGCTGACATAAAAATCTCACTCCGTGAGAGAGTAGCCATATAATTGGTACTCTTTTGGGGCAATTTGGGGTATATATAATTGAACTAAAAATATTTTTTTCCTGATATTATCTTCTAAATAATCTGAATTTTTAATAAATTTCATATGTTTTCTTAATGTTTACAGTTTTCCACTATTTATTTAATATTTCCATTAAGTTTCATATGTTTTTCACAAAAAATAATTTCTATTCAGGGTACATAATTTGGATGTTCAAAATGTTGTGTATAAGGCGGCAACTTTGTCCCAGATAAAACATTCGGTGGCGCTACGGGATAGCGATATTTGGAGTTGGTCTGAAAAAAAAATAAAAAAATTTGTTCGGTTTTCTACAAAAATTAATTGAATGATAAGTTTTATAAATTTATCGATCCACAAATTTTATAAAGAAAATTTATCGATTTACAAAACTAACTTTTCAATCGACACTTTCACTAAAGAAAACTCTTCAATCGGCATATTTTCTAAAGAAAACTTATCAATCGACAAATTTTCTATAGAAAACTAATCCATCTACAAATTTTCTATAGAAAACTTATCCATCGACAAATTTTCTATAGAAAACTTATCCATCGACAAATTTTCTATAGAAAACTTATCCATCGACAAATTTTCTATAGAAAACTTATCCATCGACAAATTTTCTATAGAAAACTTATCCATCGACAAATTTTCTATACAAAACTTATCCATCGACAAATTTTCTATACAAAACTTATCCATCGACAAATTTTCTATAGAAAACTTATCCATCGACAAATTTTCTATAGAAAACTTATCCATCGACAAATTTTCTATAGAAAACTTATCCATCGACAAATTTTCTATAGAAAACTTATCCATCGACAAATTTTCTATAGAAAACTTATCCATTGACAAATTTTCTATAGAAAACTTATCCATTGACAAATTTTCTATAGAAAACTTATCCATTGACAAATTTTCTATAGAAAACCTATTGTTCTACGAATTTTCTATAGAAAATTTATCCAACGACAAATTTTCTATAGAAAACTTAGCCATCGACAAATTTTCTATAGAAAACTTATCCATCGACAAATTTTCTATAGAAAACTTATCCATCGACAAATTTTCTATAGAAAACTTATCCATCGACAAATTTTCTATAGAAAACTTATCCATCGACAAATCTTCTATAGAAAACTTATCCATCGACAAATTTTCTATAGAAAACTTATCCATCGAAAAATGTTATATAGAAAACTTATCCATCGACAAATTTTCTATAGAAAACTTATCCATCGACAAATTTTCTATAGAAAACTTATCCATCGACAAATTTTCTATAGAAAACTTATCCATCGATAAATTTTCTATAGAAAACTTATCCATCGACAAATTTTCTATAGAAAACTTATCCATCGACAAATTTTCTATAGAAAACTTATCCATCGACAAATTTTCTATAGAAAACTTATCCATCGACAAATTTTCTATAGAAAACTTATCCATCGACAAATTTTCTATAGAAAACTTATCCATCGACAAATTTTCTATAGAAAACTTATCCATCGACAAATTTTCTATAGAAAACTTATCCATCGACAAATTTTCTATAGAAAACTTATCCATCGACAAATTTTCTATAGAAAACTTATCCATCGACAAATTTTCTATAGAAAACTTATCCATCGACAAATTTTCTATAGAAAACTTATCCATCGACAAATTTTCTATAGAAAACTTATCCATCGACAAATTTTCTATAGAAAACTTATCCATCGACAAATTTTCTATAGAAAACTTATCCATCGACAAATTTTCTATAGAAAACTTATCCATCGACAAATTTTCTATAGAAAACTTATCCATCGACAAATTTTCTATAGAAAACTTATCCATCGACAAATTTTCTATAGAAAACTTATCCATCGACAAATTTTCTATAGAAAACTTATCCATCGACAAATTTTCTATAGACAACTTATCCATCGACAAATTTTCTATAGACAACTTATCCATCGACAAATTTTCTATAGAAAACTTATCCATCGACAAATTTTCTATAGACAACTTATCCATCGACAAATTTTCTATAGAAAACTTATCCATCGACAAATTCATGAGTTTAACATTAAATTAAAAAGTTTTCTTACATTTCCATATTCTTGCATTTCATATTCCATATCATCAGCTGGTTTTATCTCGATTACATCTACGATATTTTTATTGAAAAATTTCCTCCAAGCGTAAATTATTGGTTTAATAACAAAAAAATATACCATCTCCACCAATGATATAATACTAAAGCCCATCATAAGACCCATAATACCACCAGTTTGTGCTGAAAAAGAAAATCCATAAAATAAACAAAATCATCTAAAAAGTACATAAACTCTTTCTCACATAAAAATTCCGTTAAACCCATATAGGGAGTTTTGATATTGCCTCGATAATAATTTTGTGGGAAAAAGATTTTCAACATGGCAAAATTATTATTAAGACTTTCCTTAGACATATTGCGAAAAAATGGACTTCTAACTTGAAAACCTTCATTATCGAGAGGTGTAAAGAAAGCTTTTGGAAAATAGGAAAGATCATTACAACTGGCCAGACAATTTCTTTTGCATTTTAAACGTTTAGGATCCACGAAATCTTTTTCAGCTTCCACCACACAATTGAAGTGGCGAACGTTACATTCGGTAACGTTTTGCCACAATTTAGGCATATGATATGGAATACAGTTACATTCCTCCAACATATAGAAGGCATCACATTCCATTTCGCAATTGCGACGGGTATAATAGCGGAAATAATACAGGGGATACTCGTCACTATAGTAGCATTGGCGCTCCTTGGGTTTAGAAGATGTACGAAGACCCTCAACGGCTTCTTCTTTTAAAGAGGTTACACGAAAATTGGTCTGATAACCCAGGGCAATGGACAAACCGGTTTCCTTAACATGTGGTGTATCAATAGGATTGTGAAAAGAGACCTGAGGATAAATATAAAAACATTATTTTATATCTAGTTTATATTTAGCACCTGAATTTCAAATGACCTTAAACCCTGGACCATTTGTTGAAGAACAATAGTAATTATCTATATCTCCATTAAGAACTATTGTCAAACCATTAGACATACCCTCGCCTAAAGAGGCACGAGGATAATAACTATTAGGCAATTCTTTGGGATATCCTTTCCCGGGGCTCCAGTCTAGAGGTATAGTCTGACCATTAAAAGAGGTATAATCTTGTATCATATAATATCTATATTAATGGGAGATTCCAAAAAAAAAATAATTAGATCTAAAAATTCTTATAAGATTTCCTTGCTTACTCTCCCTTATACAGCATAAATGGATGAACCATATTAAAGGAACAGCACAAACCCTCATCTAAGAGAACTTCCCGAAATAAGTCAGTACAAACTCTTTTAGTGTTTCCATATATACAATACACCACCATATGTTCACAAGGTTGACCATTCTGAAATTGATTGCATAAAATAATGAAATTTTTATTTTTATTAATTTCTTAAGTGCATTTTACCTTAACAATAAATCTAGAAAAGCTGTTGCCTTTAGGGAATGGTTTCGTGTGGGCAAATGAAGAATAATTTAGTTCTTGAAAGCATAGTTTTTGCAGCATGGCATAATTCAACGATTGACTGCAAGGCGAGAAAATAATTAGATGGATTAAAACAAATTTAAAGAATTTAAAAATGTTGAAATATTCTTCAGAACTAAACTAAAACCGAACTGAACAAGAACAGAAATAGAACTGAACTAAACTAGACTTGAACTGGAACAAAACTAGAACTAAAACTGAACTAGAACTGAACTAGAACTGAACTAGAACTGAACTAGAACTGAACTAGAACTGAACTAGAACTGAACTAGAACTGAATTAGAACTGAACTAGAACTGAACTAGAACTGAACTAGAACTGAACTAGAACTGAACTAGAACTGAACTAGAACTGAACTAGAACTGAACTAGAAATGAACTAGAACTGAACTAGAACAGAACTGAACTAGAACTGAACTAGAACTGAATTAGAACTGAATTAGAACTGAACTAGAACTGAACTAGAACTGAACTAGAACTGAACTAGAACTGAACTAGAACTAAACAAGAACTGAACTAGAACTGAACAAGAACTGAACTAGAACTGAACTAGAACTGCACTAGAACTGAACTAGAACTAAACAAGAACTGAACTAGAACAGAACTGAACTAAAACTGAACTAGAACTGAATTAGAACTGAACTAGAACTGAACTAGAACTGATCTAGAACTGAACTAGAACTGAACTAGAACTAGAACTGAACTAGAACTGAACTAGAACTGAACTAGAACTGAACTAGAACTGAACTAGAACTGAACTAGAACTGAACTAGAACTGAACTAGAACTGAACTAGAACTGAACTAGAACTGAACTAGAACTGAACTAGAACTGAACTAGAACTGAACCTAGAACTGAACTAGAACTGAACTAGAACTGAACTAGAACTGAACTAGAACTGAACTGAACTAGAACTGAACTAGAACTGAACTAGAACTGAACTAGAACTGAACTAGAACTGAACTAGAACTGAACTAGAACTGAACTAGAACTGAACTAGAACTGAACTAGAACTGAACTAGAACTGAACTAGAACTGAACTAGAACTGAACTAGAACTCAACTAGATCTGAACTAGAACTGAACTAGAACTGAACTAGAACTGAAAAAGAACTGAACTAGAACTGAACTAGAACTGGACTAGAACTGAATTAGAACTGAATTAGAACTGAATTAGAACTGAACTAGAACTGAACTAGAACTGAACTAGAACTGAACTAGAACTGAACTAGAACTGAAGTAGAACTGAACTAGACTGAACTAGAACTAGAACTGAACTAGAACTGAACTAGAACTGAACTAGAACTGAACTAGAACTGAACTAGAACTGAACTAGAACTGAACTAGAACTGAACTAGAACTGAACTAGAACTGAACTAGAACTGAACTAGAACTGAACTAGAACTGAACTAGAACTGAACTAGAACTGAACTAGAACTGAACTAGAACTGAACTAGAACTGAACTAGAACTGAACTAGAACTAGAACTGAACTAGAACTGAACTAGAACTGAACTAGAACTGAACTAGAACTGAACTAGAACTGAACTAGAACTGAACTAGAACTGAACTAGAACTGAACTAGAACTGAACTAGAACTGAACTAGAACTAAACTAGAACTGAACTAGATCTGAACTAGAACTGAACTAGAACTGATCTAAAGCCGATATAAAACTGAACTTGAATTGAACTTTATCAAAATATTAACTAAACTTTCCTGCACTTCTTACGTTTCCACAAAAAATTTAACTTACTCCTTTTGTTATTTTAACAACTTTTTCTAACATACATAAATACATACATATTTGCACTTTGAGTTCTTTCACTAAACTTACGAACTTTTTACTTTTTTTAAATAAAGCTTTCTAAAGCTCTTTGGGATGACCTCACACAACTCACTTCTTAATCTCATTCCTTTTAATCCACTCACGCACGTTATTGTTATCCCACTTACTCCCTCTTCGAGAATAACAACAAACACACAAAACTATATGCAACTGAGTACTAGCGACAACAACAACAACGATTATTTGCACTTTGCTTTTAGTTTTCTAGAAATTTCTGAAGTGTTCGGTGATTCGCGTTCGTTTAATTAATTAAAAGGTCCTATCAAAAGTGAAGAAATTGCAAATATTTTTACATAATTATTTAGTTTAAATGTTGTTTAATATTCGTGTGTAAAAATATCGTTAAAAAATTTCAAGTAAATTAGTTAAATTCTGTTAAATAAAATTTGCAAGTTTTTGCCGGTCGGTAATACTCGTTATGTTGCTTTAGTTTGGCCATTTGTTCGTTTGTATATAAAGTGTTTGTTTGTGTGAATGTGTATTGTTGGAGAGAAATGAAAAGAATGAAAGTAACGAAAAGGTTTAATAAAAGGCTTTAAGTGCAAAAAGAGTCAAAATAAAGTTAAAAAAGCTTTTATGTGCATTGAAAAAATAAAAAAATAAAGTCCAAATCGTTAAAAAAAGCTTTGAGAAAGAGAAATAAAAATGTTAGAATAAATCACATATCAAATTAAATTGTTAACAAGAAAAGGAAACAAGTGGTGAATAGGTGAGTTGTTGATTTCATTTATTTTACATTATTTTTAATTATATGTTATATATAATTTAATAAAAAAATTAGATATCATGAAAAGAAAATTTATAGAAATTTTATATAATTTTTAAAATTTTTTTCTTTACATCGAAAATTTTCTATAACATTTTTTTATTCTATTCTACATATCTGTTCTATTAAAACAAATTTTTGATCAATAACTGAACTAGAACTGAACTGAACTAGAACTGAACTAGAACTGCACTAGAACTGAACTAGAACTGAACTAGAACTGAACTGGAACTGAACTAGAACTGCACTAGAACTGAACTAGAACTGAACTTGAACTGAACTGGAACTGAACTAGAACTGAACTTGAACTGAACTAGAACTGAACTAGAACTGAACTAGAACTGAACTAGAACTGAACTAGAACTGAACTTGAACTGCACTAGAACAGAACTAGAACTGAACTAGAACTGAACTAGAACTGAACTAGAACTGAACTAGAACTGAACTTGAACTGCACTTGAACTGCACTAGAACTGAACTAGAACTGAACTAGAACTGAACTAGAACTGAACTAAAACTGAACTAGAACTGAACTGAACTAGAACTGAACGAGAATTAAACTAGAACTGAACCAGAACTGAACTAGAACTTAATTAGAATTCAACAGGAAGAAAATATTAATTCAACTACCCTGCACTTGTTCTTATCCACCAAAAAAAAAAAAAAATGAATTAACTCTTTTTATTATTTTAACAACTTTTTCTTACATGCATATTTGCACTCTCATTTCCTTCACGAAACTAACGACCCTTTTACTCTTTTAAATAAAGATTTCTTACTACTCCCCATACCACCCCACACTTCTCTCTTTTTAATCTCTTTCTTTTTAATCCACTCACGCAAGGTTTTGTTATCCCACTAACTCCCTCTTCGAGAATAACAACAAACACACATAACTTTATGCAACTGAGTACTAACGACAACAACAACAACAACGATTACTTGCATTTTGCTTAGTTTTCTCTAAATTTCTGAAGTGTTCGGTTGTTCGGTGATTCGCGTTCGTTTAATTAATTAATAAATCCTATTAAAAGTTAATAAATTGCAAATATTTTTACATAATTATTTAGTTTAAATGCTGTTTAAGATTCGTGTGTAAAAATATCGTTAAAATATGTAAAGTAAATTAGTTAAATTCTGTTGAATAAAATTTGCAATTTTTTGCCGGTCGGTAATACTCGTTATGTTGCTTTAGTTTGGCCATTTGTTCGTTTGTATATAAAGTGTTTGTTTGTGTGAATGTGTATGGTTCGTTGGTTGGTCGCCTGTTTAGGGGAATAGCGAAAGAGAAATAAAAAGAAGGAAAGTAACGAAAAGGTTTAAGAAAGGGCTTTAAGTGCAAAAAGAGTCAAAATAAAGTTAATAAAGCTTTTATGTGCATTGAAAAAATAAAAAGAGGAAATAAAGTTCAAATCGCTAAAAAAGGTTTGAGAAAGAGAAATAAAAATGTTCTTAGAATAAATCACATAAAATGAAATTGTTTACAAGAAAAGGAAACAAGTGGTGAATAGGTGAGTGGTTGATTTCTTTTATTTTACATTATTTTTAATTATACATAATTCTGTGTTATAAATATTATAAATTATTAAAAAAATTAGTTATCATGTAAAGAAAATTTATAGAAATTTTATATAATTTTTAAAATTTTTTCTTTACATCGAAAATTTTCTATAAATTTTTTTGTTCTATTCTACGTATATATTCTACTAAAACTAATTTTTGATCCATAACTGAACTAGAACTGAACTAGAACTGAACAACAAACTGAACTAGAACTGAACAACAAACTGAACTAGAACTGAACTAGAACTGAATTAGAACTGAACTAGAACTGAACAAAAAACTGAACTAGAACTGAACTAGAACTGAACTAGAACTGAACTAAAACTGAACTAGAACTGAACTAGAACTGAACTGGAACTGAACTAGAACTGAACTAGAACTGAACTAGAACTGAACTAGACCTGAACTAGAACTGAACTAGAACTGAACTAGAACTGAACTAGAACTGAACTAGAACTGAACTAGAACTGAACTAGAACTGAACTAGAACTGAACTAGAACTGAACTAGAACTGAACTAGAACTGAACTAGAACTGAACTAGAACTGAACTAGAACTGAACTAGAACTGAACTAGAACTAGAAATGAACTAGAACTGAACTAGAACTAGAAATGAACTAGAACTGAACTAGAACTGAACTAGAACTGAACTAGAACTAGAACTGAACTAGAACTGAACTAAAACTGAACTAGAACTGAACTAGAACTGAACTAGAACTGAACTAGAACTCAACTAGAACTGAACTAGAACTGAACTAGAACTAGAACTGAACTAGAACTGAACTAGAACTGAACTAGAACTGAACTAGAACTGAACTAGAACTGAACTAGAACTGAACTAGAACTGAACTAGAACTGAACTAGAACTGAACTAGAACTGAACTAGAACTGAACTAGAACTGAACTAGAACTGAACTAGAACTGAACTAGAACTGAACTAGAACTGAACTAGAACTGAACTAGAACTGAACTAGAACTGAACTAGAACTGAACTAGAACTGAACTAGAACTGAATTAGAACTGAACTAGAACTGAACTAGAACTGAACTAGAACTGAACTAGAACTGAACTAGAAATGAACTAGAACTGAATTAGAACTGGAACTGAACTAGAGCTGAACTAGAACTGAACTAGAACTGAACTAGAACTGAACTAGAACTGAACTAGAACTGAACTAGAACTAAACTAGAACTGAACTAGAACTGAACTAGAACTGAACTAGAACTGAACTAGAACTGAACTAGAACTGAACTAGAACTGAACTAGAACTGAACTAGAACTGAACTAGAACTGAACTAGAACTGAACTAGAACTGAACTAGAACTGAACTAGAACTGAACTAGAACTGAACTAGAACTGAACTAGAACTGAACTAGAACTGAACTAGAACTGAACTAGAACTGAACTAGAACTGAACTAGAACTGAACTAGAACTGAACTAGAACTGAACTAGAACTGAACTAGAACTGAACTAGAACTGAACTAGAACTGAACTAGAACTGAACTAGAACTGAACTAGAACTGAACTAGAACTGAACTAGAACTGAACTAGAACTGAACTAGAACTGAACTAGAACTGAACTAGAACTGAACTAGAACTGAACTAGAACTGAACTAGAACTGAACTAGAACTGAACTAGAACTGAACTAGAACTGAACTAGAACTGAACTAGAACTGAACTAGAACTGAACTAGAACTGAACTAGAACTGAACTAGAACTGAACTAGAACTGAACTAGAACTAGAACTGAACTAGAACTGAACTAGAACTGAACTAGAACTGAACTAGAACTGAACTAGAACTGAACTAGAACTGAACTAGAACGAAGAAACTGAACTAGAACTGAACTAGAACTGAACTAGAACTGACTAGAACTGAACTAGAACTGAACTAGAACTGAACTAGAACTGAACTAGAACTGAACTAGAACTGAACTAGAACTGAACTAGAACTGAACTAGAAACTGAACTAGAACTGAACTAGAACTGACTAGAACTGAACTAGAACTGAACTAGAACTGAAGCTAGAACTGAACTAGAACTGAACTAGAACTGAACTAGAACTGAACTAGAACTGAACTAGAACTGAACTAGAACTGAACTAGAACTGAACTAGAACTGAACTAGAACTGAAACTAGAACTGAACTAGAACTGAACTAGAACTGAACTAGAACTGAACTAGAACTGAACTAGAACTGAACTAGAACTGAACTAGAACTGAACTAGAACTGAACTAGAACTGAACTAGAACTGAACTAGAACTGAACTAGAACTGAACTAGAACTAGAACTGAACCAGAACTGAACTAGAACTGAACTAGAACTGAACTAGAACTGAACTAGAACTGAACTAGAACTGAACTAGAACTGAACTAGAACTGAACTAGAACTGAACTAGAACTGAACTAGAACTGAACTAGAACTGAACTAGAACTGAACTAGAACTGAATTAGAACTGAACTAGAACTGAACTAGAACTGAACTAGAACTGAACTAGAACTGAACTAGAACTGAACTAGAACTGAACTAGAACTGAACTAGAACTGAACTAGAACTGAACTAGAACTGAACTAGAACTAAACTAGAACTGAACTAGAACTGAACTAGAACTGCACTAGAACTAAACTGAACTAGAACTGAACTAGAACTGAACAAGAACTAAACTAGAACTCAACTGGAACTAAACTAGAACTGAACTAGAACTAAATTAGAACTGAACCAGAACTGAACTAGAACTTAATTAGAAATGAACAGGAAGAAAATATTAACTCAATTATCCTGCACTTGTTCTTATCCACAAAAAAAAGAATTAACTCCTTTTGTTATTTTAACAACTTTTTCTTACATGCATATGTGCACTCTCATTTCCTTCACGAAACTAACGACCCTTTTACTCTTTTAAATAAAGATTTCTTACTACTCCCCATACCACCCCACACTTCTCTCTTTTTAATCTATTTCTTTTTAATCCACTCACGCACGTTATTGTTATCCCACTTACTCCCTCTTCGAAAATAACAACAAACGCACATAACTTTATGCAACGGAGTACTAACGACAACAACAACAACAACGATTACTTGCATTTTGCTTTTAGTTTTCTAGAAATTTCTGAAGTGTTCGGTTGTTTGGTGATTCGCGTTCGTTTAATTAATTAAAAGGTCCTATTAAAAGTGAAGAAATTGCAAATATTTTTACATAATTATTTAGTTTAAATGTTGTTTAATATTCGTGTGCAAAAATATCGTTAAAAAATTTCAAGTAAATTAGTTAAATTTTGTTGAATACGAATGTAATTTTATGCCGTTCGTTGCGTTACTTTAGTTTGGCCATTCGTTAGTTTGTGTAAATATTTGTGTGAATGTGAATGTGTATGGTTGGTTGGTCGCTTGTTTAGGGAACTAGCGAAAAAGACATAAAAAGAATGCAAGTAAAGAAAAGGTTTAAGAAAAAGCTTTAGAAAAAAGAATAAAAAGAGGCAATATAAAGTTTAATAAGCTTTTATGTGCATTGAAAAAAATATAAAGAGGAAATAAAGCACATATCTTTACAAAAGCTCTACAAAAGAGAAATAAAAAAATTATATCACATACACACATATAAAATTAAATTGTTTACAGAACGGAAACAAGTGGTGAATAGGTGAGATATTAATTTCATTGATTATAATTTTATACACAAAAGTAAATTATAATAAAAATAAATATTATCGAAATTTTTTTTATAATTATGGAATAATTAAACAAAAACTATTACAGATTTTTCATAAAAAGAAAAATTGAATTAAAATTTATCTAAAATGTTGCATATAAAAAATGAGGAGTTATTAAAAATTTTAAATAAAATTATAATTTTATTGAAAATGTTTACATAAAAATCTAGTTCAGTTTTAACTCTGTTCCAGTTGTGTTCTAGTTCAGTTCTAGTTCAGTTCTAGTTCAATTCTAGTTCAGTTCTAGTTCAGTTCTAGTTCAGTTCTAGTTCAGTTCTAGTTCAGTTCTAGTTCAGTTCTAGTTCAGTTCTAGTTCAGTTCTAGTTCAGTTCTAGTTCAGTTCTAGTTCAGTTCTAGTTCAGTTCTAGTTCAGTTCTAGTTCAGTTCTAGTTCAGTTCTAGTTCAGTTCTAGTTCAGTTCTAGTTCAGTTCTAGTTCAGTTCTAGTTCAGTTCTAGTTCAGTTCTAGTTCAGTTCTAGTTCTGGTTCAGTTCTAGTTCTGGTTCAGTTCTAGTTCAGTTCTGGTCCAGTTCTAGTTCAGTTCTAGTTCAGTTCTAGTTCAGTTCTAGTTCTAGTTCAGGTCTAGTTCAGTTCTAGTTCAGATCTATTTCAGTTCTAGTTCAGTTCTAGTTCAGTTCTAGGTCAGTTCAGTTCTAGTTCAGTTCTGTTCAGTTCTAGTTCAGTTCAGTTTTAGTTCAGTTCTAGTTCAGTTTTAGTTCAGATCTATTTCAGTTCTAGTTCAGTTCTAGTTCAGTTTTAGTTTCAGTTCTATTTCAGTTCTAGTTCAGTTCTAGTTCAGTTCTAGTTCAGTTCTAGTTCAGTTCTAGTTCAGTTCTAGTTCAGTTCTAGTTCAGTTCTAGTTCAGTTCAGTAGTTCTAGTTCAGTTCTAGTTCAGTTCTAGTTCAGTTCTAGTTCAGCTCTAGTTCAGTTCTAGTTCAGTTCTAGTTCAGTCTAGTTCAGTTCTAGTTCAGTTCTAGTTCAGTTCTAGTTCAGTTCTAGTTCAGTTCTAGTTCAGTTCTAGTTCAGTTCTAGTTTCAGTTCTAGTTCAGTTCTAGTTCAGTTCTAGTTCAGTTCTAGTTCAGTTCTAGTTCAGTTCTAGTTCAGTTCTAGTTCAGTTCTAGTTCAGTTCTAGTTCAGTTCTAGTTCAGTTCTAGTTAGTTCTAGTTCAGTTCTAGTTCAGTTCTAGTTCAGTTCTATTCACTTTTAGTTGGAGGTTGTTTTATAATTTTTATCAAAATTTTTACAATATTTTATTGAACTTACACATCGAAATTCTTGACTTTGCTATACTGCGCTTGATTCATATTACAAATGGTGATGGCCGGAAAAGGTTCGTTGTTATAAATGAAGTTTGAGGACTCATAACCGTCATTACCGGTGAGGTTTGCCATTTGTCCCAAATATTTATAGCAAAATTGAGGGAATTATACAAAGCAGCTATAAAGCAACCAAGGAATAATAATCTGTAAATGAAAAAGAAAATCAATAAAGTAATGTAGCAATTGATTTCTTTAAAGGAGTAGTCGGATTTGTAGGTTGTTTGAATTAGTTATAAAAGCCACAAAATATGTTGAAATCAGGAGATCCGGCAGATGCTAATAATTACTTTTCCCATATGGTTAAATATTTAAAAGACAAATATTTTAAACCATTCAATACAGTATTTCTAAGAAATTCATTAGTTATCTCGCTATAGTACACCAATAGACGCCATAGAACTCCTGGCTGTTTATTAGAGTTGTTGATATAATTATTGCGATGCATTTTTTCAGGAAATGTTTTAAGATTGAGGATTAAAGGAAAACTATTAGTAACTGTTTAGTTTAACTTTTATTAGGAGTTTTATACAAGTTATGTAAGGTTTATTTTAATTAATTAGTGAAACTTTATAAGACGCTTGTGTTATAATTATTATTTACATAAATATTAAATGATATGTAAGTGAATAACCTAAATAGTGTCTTCCTGTATTTAAACACTATTTATAGGCTCTAAACGGTTATACTCGGAAATGTATTGTATGTATTAATTACATATAATACATACTTTCATTAAAGGTAAACATTTTATAAAAAATTGAACACTTACATTGTACCTTATTAAAACCCATCAACACCTCCTTCTTTTCGATAATCAGCATTTGCCAGTACAACGCCCTCTTCCACTTTTTCCACCCCACAGACGGCTGTACATTTTCGTCTTATTCTTTCCGTCTGATGACCTCTTGCTTCTAAATCTCCTATAACTTGTTGAAAAACTCCGTATTCATATTCTAATATATTTGGCACCAACTGATGATGAAAACGTGGTTCATCTATAGCTTGTTTTATATTTTGTTGCTGCCATAGTACTCGTATCAAAATTTGCACTAAAGTAGATATAATACGAGAGCCCCCGGCTGCACCCACTACCAGTCTTACATCTCCCGTCTCTTTATGAGTAACAATTAGTGGAACCATGGAAGACATGGGCTGTTTTTGTGCTTTAAGTTGATTTATGCCCTCAATATTGGGTAGATTGAAATAATTTTCAAAATTCTCAATGGTAAAATCGGATATGGCATTGTTGAAAAGTATACCACTGCGAGGACCCATGCGCCCGCTTCCAAAGCTATAAGTAAATGAGGTGTTTTCATAAATACCTTTGGTAAAAAGCTTTTACTTACTAATAATTTATTGAGCTGGTTGCAGAAACCGCATCACCATTTGGTGCTAATACGGAAATTTGGGCGGTACCATGGTCCGGTGTCGGTGTTAGTTTAACCGTAGATCCATAATGTTCGGGATCTTCAAATGTTTTTAAATCATCTATTAAAAGGGTTATGTTTTTAATAGAATCTGAATGGAATAGATTTTCCAGCACCTGCAATGGCAAAATAAATTCGGAACAAATATCACTTTGGATTTGATAAGGCTCAGAACAAGTTATGTTCTAGTTCAGTTTTAGTTCCGTTCTAGTTCCGTTCTAGTTCTAGTTCAGTTCTAGTTCAGTTCAGTTCTAGTTCTAGTTCAGTTCTAGTTCAGTTCTTGTTCAGTTCTAGTTCAGTTCTAGTTCAGTTCTAGTTCAGTTCTAGTTCTGTTCTAGTTCAGTTCTAGTTCAGTTCTAGTTCAGTTCTAGTTCAGTTCTAGTTCAGTTCTAGTTCAGTTCTAGTTCAGTTCTAGTTCAGTTCTAGTTCAGTTCTAGTTCAGTTCTAGTTCAGTTCTAGTTCAGTTCTAGTTCAGTTCTAGTTCAGTTCTAGTTCAGTTTCTAGTTCAGTTCTAGTTCAGTTCTAGTTCAGTTCTAGTTCAGTTCTAGTTCAGTTCTAGTTCAGTTCTAGTTCAGTTCTAGTTCAGTTCTAGTTCAGTTCTAGTTCAGTTCTAGTTCAGTTCTAGTTCAGTTCTAGTTCAGTTCTAGTTCAGTTCTAGTTCAGTTCTAGTTCAGTTCTAGTTCAGTTCTAGTTCAGTTCTAGTTCAGTTCTAGTTCAGTTCTAGTTCAGTTCTAGTTCAGTTCTAGTTCAGTTCTAGTTCAGTTCTAGTTCAGTTCTAGTTCAGTTCTAGTTCAGTTCTAGTTCAGTTCTAGTTCAGTTCTAGTTCAGTTCTTCTAGTTCAGTTCTAGTTCAGTTCTAGTTCAGTTCTAGTTCAGTTCTAGTTCAGTAGTTCTAGTTCAGTTCTAGTTTAGTTCTAGTTCAGTTCTAGTTCAGTTCTAGTTCAGTTCTAGTTCAGTTCAGTTCTAGTTCAGTTCTAGTTCAGTTCTAGTTCAGTTCTAGTTCAGTTCTAGTTCAGTTCTAGTTCAGTTCTAGTTCAGTTCTAGTTCAGTTCTAGTTCAGTTCTAGTTCAGTTCTAGTTCAGTTCTAGTTCAGTTCTAGTTCAGTTCTAGTTCAGTTCTAGTTCAGTTCTAGTTCAGTTCTAGTTCAGTTCTAGTTCAGTTCTAGTTCAGTTCTAGTTCAGTTCTAGTTCAGTTCTAGTTCAGTTCTAGTTCAGTTCAAGTTCAGTTCTAGTTCAGTTCTAGTTCAGTTCTAGTTCAGTTCTAGTTCTAGTTCAGTTCTAGTTCAGTTCTAGTTTAGTTCTAGTTCAGTTCTAGTTTAGTTCTAGTTCAGTTCTAGTTCAGTTCTAGTTTAGTTCTAGTTCAGTTCTAGTTCAGTTCTAGTTCAGTTCTAGTTCAGTTCTAGTTCTAGTTCAGTTCTAGTTCAGTTCTAGTTCAGTTCTAGTTCAGTTCTAGTTCAGTTCTAGTTCAGTTCTAGCTCAGTTCTAGTTCAGTTCTAGTTCAGTTCTAGTTCAGTTCTAGTTCAGTTCTAGTTCAGTTCTAGTTCAGTTCTAGTTCAGTTCTAGTTCTAGTTCAGTTCTAGTTCAGTTCTAGTTCAGTTCTAGTTCAGTTCTAGTTCAGTTCTAGTTCAGTTCTAGTTCAGTTCTAGTTCAGTTCTACTTCAGTTCTAGTTCAGTTCTAATTCAGTTCTAGTTCAGTTCTCTAAACTATTATTTATCCTTACAACTTACCTCCTGATCCATCTCAGAATCGTAATGCCAACGTTTGACAAAACCGAACTTTAAAGCCTCCACTATGCGATGAACTTCCAAGGATCCAAATTCTTTAACAGACGACAATTTACCCTTAAACTTCTGCAAAATTTGCATAATAAAACCCACAACATGACCACTTGCAGGAGCTGGAGGTAGATGCACATAATAAGGCTCTAAGTCCAGGGCAATTGAATCCTTTATAACCGCTTTAAAACTCTTTAAATCTTCTAATTTTATCCAAGAACCCATTTCACTTAAATCCTTTACAATTAAAGACGACAGTGTACCATTGTAAAATGTTAGAGGACCTTCTTCTTGCAGTAATTTATAAGTGGCACAAACTTCTTGAGGTATACTTATATGATAACCTTCTCTATAAAATAAATTAGTCTTGGGATCCACAAACATTGCAGCTAACAATTTATCTTTTCTAATCATTTCCTCATTTAAAAATAAAGCATCACGTTGATGACGTGTAAGTTGATAGCCTTGATAACATAACTCCAATGTGGGTTGTAGGAGATAGGACCAAGGTAGTGAACCGTATTGGTGGTGAGCCTCATAATATGCTGCCACTTCTCCGGGCACTGCTATGGAATATACAGATTTAGCAAATGTGGAGGCGTTATATTGCGACTTCAACTTTTCCAAATTAATATTTAAAGGAGCTCTTTCTCTGCCTATTATAGAGATGGCTTTCTTTTCCTGACGTCTGTAGTATGTCATTATAACACCACCTCCTAAGCCCATACTTTGCATGGTAACCAAACCATTGCACAATAGGGTGGCAATTGCGGAATCAATGGCATTACCTTTATGTTGTAGAATAACACTTCCTATATTGCTGCAGATATTTTTATCTGAACATACAGCCGCCTTTTCATATACATGTAAAATGGAGCCAGAAGGTGGTTGTGGCACTTCAACATTTGGAGGTATTAAGGCAGATGATTTGGGGAAGGTAAATTTCTTCTGCTCATCTTTCAAAAAAGCTGTAAATATTTTGTTAATGTTTTAATTTTAATGAGGGATATAAATTGAGATCTTACCTTGTTTTTGTATATTATTAAAGACATAAAAAGCTAAACTTAAAACTAAACCCAGTAAAAATTTTAACCACATTTTAGAAATAAATTTGTTATTTCGATGTTTAACTTTTAGTAGTGAAGAAGAAATACCTTTTCTGTATTCTTCACTTGAAGAAACCAAGCCTGCGCATTTGTGAAAATAATTGTATTTGTTTTGTTTTTATTATTGGTTGACCGAGCCAGTATTTTAACAGAAAATCGATTTTCGGATATTCATTACCGATGTGTGCAGTTGCGGAGTTACCAACAGTAACTCTTTTTGAAATCATAATATAATTTATTGTCTGGTAACATTGTAGCGTTGAGGGGTTGTTGTCATAGCTATGTGTAATGCCAGATTTTTCTTATATTATGACGGTTATTTTAAATGCTTGACCCGTAGAAATTTATTCGTGCTACTGCTACTTATAGTATTTTTTTACAAAAAAGTTGTTTTAAAATCATGAAATAAATATTTTGTTCTAAAATTATTAAACAGTTCGACCCACCATTAGCTCTTACATTCTCTAGTTTAAGCTTTCATGTCTTCCAAAGGGAAATAATTCTGAAATTTCTTAATTGATGTTAAAGATTTTACGTTTAAATTTCGGATCTCCTCTGAGCAGATGATTCCCAAATTTCCAACCTTAGGTATGTGACAAATATAAATTTATCTCTATTGTATACTACTGATCCTATTCAAAAACTTATGTTAGTATGTAGTCGTCTCTAGTTTTGACTATAATTTCGACTGGAGTCTATAGTCTCGTATATAGTCTTGACTATAGTCTTGTCTATAGTCTTGACTATAGTCTGGTCTATAGTCTAGTAGACAGTATTGACTATAGTATCGTCTATAGTCCCGTCTATAGTCGGGTCTTTAGTCTTGACTATAGTCTGGTCTATAGTATTGACTATGTTCTGGTCTATAGTCTTGACTTTAGTCTCGTCTATAGTCTTGATTATAGTATCGTCTATAGTCCTGATTATAGTCTCATCTATGGTCTGGACTATACTCTCGTCTATAGTCTGGACTATAGACTCGCCTATAGTCTTGATTATAGCGAGTCAAAGGTCTTGACTATAGTCGAGTCAAAAGTCTTGACTATAGTCCCCTCTATAGCCTCGTCTATAGTCTTGACTATAGTCTGGTCTATAGTCTTGACTTTAGTCTGATCAATAGTCTTGACTATAGTCTGGTCTATAGTCTTGACTATAGTTTGGTCTATAGTCTTGACTATAGTCTTGACTATAGTCTCGTCTATAGTCTAGACTATAGTCTAGACTATAGTCTCGTCTGTAGTCATGATTATAGTCTCGTCTATAGACTTGATAATAGTCTCGTCTATAGTATTGATTATAGTCTCTTCTATAATCTCGTCTAAAGTTTTGACTATAATCTCGTCCATAGTGTTGACTATAGTCTCGTCTATAGTCTTGACTATAGTCTCGTCTATAGTCTTGAGTTTAGTCTGATCAATAGTCTTGACTATAGTCTGGTTTATAGTCTTGACTATAGTCTCGTCTATAGTCTTGACTATAATCTCGTCTATAGTCCTGACTATAGCCTCGTCTATAGTCTGGACTATAGTCTCGTCTGTAGTCATGATTATAGTCTCGTCTATAGTCTTGATTATAGTCTCGTCTATAGTCTTGACTATAGTCGAGTCAAAAGTCTTGACAATAGTCACCTCTATAGTCTCGTCTATAGTCTTGACTATAGACTGGTCTATAGTCTTGACTTTAGTCTGCTCTATAGTCTTGACTATAGTCTTGTCTATAGTCTTGACTATAATCACGTCTATAGTCCTGACTATAGTCTCGTCTATAGTCGGGACTATAGTCTCGTCTATAGTCGGGACTATAGTCTCGTCTATAGTCCCGGCTATAGACTATAGACGAGACTATAGTCTTGAATATAGTCTTGACTTTAGTCTCGTCTATAGTCCAGGGCCTGGACTATATGGACTCCAGGCTTTATTCTCATCTATACTTTAGACAATAGTGTCATCAATAGTCTTGTCAATAATCATGACTCTTGTTTTGCTTATAGTCTTGTCTATAATTTTGTCTCTAGTCTTGACTATAGTCGACTGTATAGTAATTTTCATAATCTCGTCTATAGTCTTGACTATAGTCTCGTCTATAGTTCATGCTATTTTCTCATCTATACCTGACTTTTTGTATATAGTATTTATAGTCTTGATAACAGTCTCGTATATTTACCTTTAAATTTAATGAAATAACTAAACCATTTTTATTATTTTTAAAGAAAATTTCTTTTTTTTTATTGATATGATAAATACAACATTATCATAAATATATAATTTGTGTTTTAATTTTTGTATTTATTTATTAGACAATTAAATATTTAATAAATTATGGGATTTCATTTATTATCGTATTTCATTACTTGTATACTGTTGTTGAAATGTGTAAAAAATCGGAGTTTTATAAACCAGTAAATAGTTTCTTTGTTTAAAATAATATATAGTTTAAAAATAATTAATAAATTTATAAATAATTATAAAAAAGAGACATACAAAATAATGTAAAGGACTTATTGACAGTATCAAAAATAATTTACAAAATGGAAAATTATTATTGGTTTTACATTATTTATTATTATAATTAATAACATTATATTAATAATAATAAAAAAATTATTAAATATTGTACAAAAATAGTTAGTTAAAAGAGTATTTTTTTTATTTAAAGTTTCTTTAGTTTAAAAGAGTCAATAAATATTAATTCCATTTGGTATAGATTTTATTTTAATTTTTTTTTGGAAAAATTATTATTTTTTTGTAGGATTTATTTAAGCTTAATATGTAAAAGAAATGTTTTATGGGATTTTATTAAATTCTAAAAGTTTTATTTTTATAAATATTGTTTTTATATTATATTTATCTGTTAATATCATTACAAAAAGTTTGTATAGTTTAAATACTATTTATTAGTTGTTTAAATTGTTTTTTTTTTTCTTTAAATTATTTTCAATATAAAGCACATTTAATTGAGATTTTTATTTTGTTGGTTTTGATGTTATTGGTTGGTTGTTTCTTTAATTTTTTAAAAAATATTTTTGACTATAGCTTTTTATAGATTTTTTACCTTCTAATTCTAATAACCGGCAATGCCACCTTGTTTTCGATAATCAGCATTTGCATAAATAGCTGTCGAATTTTAACAATACCACATAATACTGAACCGGGTGTAGTCATGGCCTTTACAACATGACCTTTGTCAGCCAGAAGTTTCAAAATTTCCTGTGTTGGAAAGAAGAATGGTGTGTCAATGAACAGTTCAGAAGACGGGGAAGAGAAGGAAAAGAGGCAAAGGGGAAATTTTAAAAAGAAAATTTTGGGCGCAGGGAGGAAAGTAAGGGGAGGTAGGCGGCGGAGAGAACGAACGAAACGAAAACGAACGAACGAACGAACGAAACGAACGAACAACGAACAACAGAGCGAACGAACGAAAGAACGAACGACACGAACGAACAACGAAACGAAACGAACAACGAAACAACGAAACGAACAACGAACGAACGAACGAACGAACGAACAACGAACGAACGAGAACGAACGAACGAACGAAAACGAACGAACGAAGAACGAACGAACGAAACGAACGAACGAACGAACGAACGAACGAACGAACGAACGAACGAACGAACGAACGAACGAACGAACAACGAACGAAACGAACGAACGAAACGAACGAAGAACGAACGAACGAAAACGAACGAAACGAACGAACGAACGAACGAACGAACGAACGAACGAAAGAAACGAACGAACGAACGAACGAACGAACGAACGAACGAACGAACGAAAGAACGAACGAACGAACGAACGAACGAACGAACGAACGAACGAACGAACGAACGAAAGAACGAACGAACGAACAACGAACGAACGAAACGAACGAAACGAACGAAGAACGAACGAACGAACGAACGAACGAAACGAACGACGAACGAACGAACGAAACGAACGAACGAAACGAACGAACGAACGAACGAACGAACGAACGAACGAACGAACGAAACGAACGAAGAACGAACGAACGAACGAACGAACGAACGACGAACGAACGAACGAACGAACGAACGAACGAACGAACGAAAGAACGAAAGAAACGAAACGAACGAACGAACGAACGAACGAACGAACGAACGAACGAACAAAGAACGAACGAACGAAAACGAACGAACGAAAACGAACGAACGAACGAACGAACGAACGAACGAACGAACGAACGAACGAACGAACGAAAGAACGAACGAAGAACGAACGAACGAACGAACGAAACGAACGAACGAACGAACGAACGAACGAACGAACGAACGAACGAACGAACTGAAGAACGAAGAACGAACGAACGAAACGAAACGAACGAACGAACGAACTAACGAACGAACGAAAGAACTAACGAACGAAACGAAAGACGAACGAACGAACGAACGAACGAACGAACGAACGAACGAACGAAGAAGAACGAACGAACGAAACGAAACGAACGAACTAACAACTCACGAACTAACTAACTAAACGAACTAACGAACTAACTAACTAACTAACTAACTAACGAACCAACTAACTAACTAACTAATACTAACTAACTATCTAACTAACTAACTAACTAAACTAACTAACTAACTAACTACACTAACTAACTAACTAACTAACTAACTAACTAACTAACTAACTAACTACCTAACTAACTAACTGATTCACAAACTTATTACGTGTCTCAAACTTACCTCTGAAAAGTATGAACTCTTCTCATATTCCAAAAACATTCGGCACCAGTTTGACTATGGAATCTGGGAAGCATCAATGGCTTCTTTAATATTTTGGTTCAAACCACAAAACTCTTGTCATAACATCAACAATAGCAGAAATAAATTTCTTCGAACCACCAGCAGCGCTCAAAGCCAAGCGGACATTGGCTTTTTGATCGGTCAAAATCATGGGTGACATAGAGGACATAGGACGTTTTTGGGGATCTATGAAATTGCTAGGTGAGGGTGGTAAATTGAACAAGTTCTTTTGATCGGGGGTAGAGAAATCATTCATGGCACTGTTAAACACAATGCCGGTACGTTTACCAACAACACCGG